TTCAGTGTAAACCCGAAGGAATAAGACCGGGAGGCCTGTGGATGGGAGCCACGTTTCATCAACGGAGCCGGCCCACACTCCTTCACAGGCAAACACAAGCACGCTGTATTTGGGAATCAAGCGCACACAAGGCGATGACTGGACCGTAGTCCGCTTCACACTGAGTGTATGGAACCGCTCTTTGATCCTAACACGGCCACAAGGACTGTGCACCCCGTCCCCTCCAGCAACGACCAACTGTCTCCTGGAGCCAGTATGAACGATGTAGTGGGTAATAGACAGGTAGGCACCTTGTCAACATACACATCAAGCGCAACCATACCAGGGATATCAAACAACAGCCATTCACTTTAAACGACAAGCTGAAATAAAATAAATCCAATAATGCATACAGATACGGTGGCATAACTCTTCGCTAGATTACCATATGAAGTAATTTGGCTGGCAACAAATCCGTGATAAGTAAGAAATGTCCACAAGTTACTTAAAATGCTACAAACGCAACAAAGTTACCGAAGATAAGCGCAATTTGTGTAAGCAACGTGGCCAGTTAATAGAACATTATTCAGGGAGGCAGAACAAAGCAAATAAAGCGGAATGAAATTTATCCAGCTTAAAAAGACCTAGTTTAAGTGTAAGTTGGTTTAGCCCAACTGTGGTGAAGAAGCATCATATACATATAAGTCGCTTACGAGGCACTGCGAACCAGGCCCCTGAAGCCGCGCTGATGATGTTGCCTAGTCAGGCAACGAAACGTCTGCACAAGAATCTCTGGTGTCTCCTCATTTGCGGATGAATCTTTCGCCTTTTACTAAAGATTTCCGTGGGGAGGCACAACACAATGAGTTCTCAGTTCTCGCACAAAATCACCACAAACATGTAACGCAGTAATAGGACTACCTACATTTCCTTCCTGCATAAAATAGCGGTGCAAGGTTTCAATGCATTTCCTTGCATCCTGTTTTGTGACTGGCATCAACACGTTAGGGTTCTCTTCATCACTTCCATGGTCTTCTGTTGCTGTCGTGTGTTTCGCTGCTATTTGAGCAACAATGGCAGCATCGCATTCTTCATTTCCATCATAGAGTTGAAGTTCGTTGTCGATTGACAAAAATTCTTCGTAATTTTCAACTTGTTTCAGCTCCACATTCTCGCCGTCATTTTCATTTACAATCACCATATCCACATCCATCTCCGAGACAATATACTTAAAGCCACAGTTCCGAATTGTCGCACTGCTCATTTTTCGCCAACTTTCGGCCACGAATGTAACGGCTTGCAAAATGTTGACCTTTGCACTGATTTCTCCGGCCGTCGAGGATGAGGTCAGCAAGCCTTCCTCAATTGATTCAAGGGTGTAATTCACCAACCTTGAACGATAAAAGGTCTTCAAATTTTTTATGATGCCCATGTCCATTGCCTGTATCAAAGATGTGGTCTTGGGAGGCAGAAATTCCATCTGGATATTCTTCAAGAAATCCAAATTTGCATGTGCTGCACAATTGTCGAGAAGTAATAACACTTTTCTCGACTGCCGTTGTAGCTGTGTCCCAATCCTTCACCCATTCTTTAAAAAGTGTAGAGCTCATCCATGCATTTCTGTTCGCACGATACACAACTGGTAAACTGTCCATTCTGAGTCCCTTAAAGCAGCGAGGCATGGCACATTTTCCTATAACCAGTAACTTCCTCTTGTCTGTTCCGGACATGTGTGTGTAGCACAAGACAGTTACGCGATCCATTGCTTTTTTGCAGCCAGAGAGAGTAACATGTTTGTAACTTAAGGAGCCGTCCGGTGTAGCCCTATAGCCCCACCCGGTTTCATCAGCATTACAGATGTCATCTGCTGGAAATTTTTCAAGAAGCTTCGGTAGTTTTGTTGATTTCCATTCCTCAGCTCGAGCGCTATTGGCACTTTCTTTTTCACCATGTGTTTTCTTAAATTTGATATCATGTCTAGATTTCCATCGAGACAACCAGCCGTCCGTAGCTATAAAATCTTCGTGGCCCAGCATTTTAGCGAGTTCTTCTGCTTTGTACTTTAACATTGAGCCACTTACTCGCACGGCTCGTCCAGTAACAAAAGCAAACCAATCATTAAGGGCCTCATCAACGTCTGGATCCTTGCCTTCACGCTTCCGTTTTTGGGAAGTACCTCGTCGTCCTTCACATTTTGCTCATTCTTCCTGCAGATCTTTCTCTTGTTTTATCAGGCGCGATATTGTAGATTTTGCCAAGCAGGTAATTTCCACCAATCGACGCTGACTAGTGGTTGGTCCCTGTTCCTTGATCTGATCTAGGAAACGAATCTTCTCAGCTAACGTCAAGTCCCGTCGTGGCATTTTCTTAACAGGCAACAAGACACGCACAGTTCACTGAGGTGAACTCGAGTCTGTCTCCCGGGTATTTCTATGGTTGACGTAGCCACCTGCTGTCCTATGATTTGCCGGACCTGCGTGTCCGCGATCACTTGCCGTGCTCGAGAGTAGGCCCGCAATGCGGGCTCAGGGCATTTGGTTCAATGGACGTGCGGTACATCGATCGAGCGGTTAACGACATGTGAACAAGCATGTATGTCTTCGCTCCGCCTACAAGTATTGGAAACTACAGTCAGTTTCGGGCGGTTCTGAAGCCAATTAGATAGATGTGCCTTAAGGTTGCCACAGTTCAGTTTATCCAAAGGCCAACTCGGATTACCGTAACTGAATGATATGCTTTCAAGCCCGACATATAAACCGTGGGTTCAGTCCAGATATCCAGACACAGAACTTGATTTTAACAACTCTGTTGCCTGCCACCTTCTATCGTCTGGTCCGATTAAGCGGAATTCCGGTCCTAATAAGCGGCTAAAATTAGGCTAGCGTAATAGGATTCGTTTCGGTTCTTCAGAATTTGGCCCGAATAAGCGGCTGGTCCTATTAACCGGAATCGACTATATATATATATATATATATATATATATATATATATATATATATATATATATATATATATAAAATATCAAATCCCATATATTTATGTCAGCAAAAAAAGATTTACAAATACATGCAATGCATAGCACCAGCGTAATTCCTTCTTACATGAGCGATCATTTTCTGGCGATGCTGGGGCGCTATGCAGGTTTGTGCCTCAGGCACAATTCGCTCCAAGAAGCCCATTCTCCACTCGCATCTCGGAATATTGCCTGATCATGGTCGCTTCACAAACGCTTTTATGATGTTCCAGATTCCCTCAATGGGATTCAGTGATGGAGAATATGGCGCCAGACGCAGGCTGCCCGAACGCGCGGCACCACCTGGAATACGCTTTCCAAATTCGTGTGGCATAGCGCGTTATCACAGATCGTGAGGTAGTTTTCGATAAAAGTTGAGCTGTGGACGCAACCTGTCCTTATTGGAACTACGTCCCATGATGGTATAGTAATTAATTCAGCGCTAGTCAACGCTCAAATCAGATGCAGGTTTCGGCATCGAATGTTGGGCCCTGTACATTGCGCAGGAGTTCCACGCGGTGAACGCCCCACGGTGCGAGCACAAGAGGTCTAAATTGTTTTCATCTATCCACACGGCTTGTCTCCCTTCGGCCTTAGATTGTAGCAGTGCCAAAACGTAGGCTTTTCACCGCATTTTTTTCTCATGTGTTGGCTGATTCCGGAATTGCTCGCAATTTCCTCATGGTAATTTACCGTCTATCCAAGTATGGTGCAATTGTGTTCACACTTACCTCAATGTTCAACTCTACCTTCAACCGCAGACGTAGTGTTTGGAGAGTGACCGTGGGTTCTTTCGACACCCATCCTACCAGGCAATCAATCTCGCTTTCTGTCAGAGACTGTCAGTATCCCCCAACACGCTTTTCTGTTTGTCCGGTTGATTCCAAGCTTTTCATCCAACTGCGACAGGTAATCAGGTTTACGTTCATTATGCGTACAACATGCTTCCAGTCGTATCCCTCTTCATTAGTCTTAAGTGTTACGTTCCTCACCTCCGCCGAAGGTCGTGTTGCCCTCCGGGAAACAAGAAGACTGGGCCAGAATCACGGAGTCGTTTATTAAGATTACGCTCGAATATTTATAGTATATACATTATTTACAACAGTCCGTTTCAATGGCTCATCCCTGTTATTTGAACTGTGTCGCTGGCTCCCTTTCCATTAGTTTATGCTTGCTCGCCACGTTCACTGTCTAAAATCATCTTGACTTGCTTAGTGGATGCACGATTGGCCGGAATGGGCCCGCGCGCTTCTTCCCTCGGTCCAATGCCACAAGCCTTGGCTCAAAGGTGTGCGAGCATGCGCTCCTTCGCCTGCTGGCGCCTGATTGGTCACTTGCACGTTCTGTGAATGATTGCAGGCTGGCCGCGATCACAGGCCAACTATGTACTGATTGGCTGACCAATCTGCTTCCAGCAACATGCTCACCCCCTATCGGTCTGGCCTGTGACGTTCGATGGGCATTACAGTATTTCCAATCACCAGCATTTCCATCACACCGAGTGCCACGTACGAGTGCCTTTTTGTGACATTCGGAGCAGAGCAAGCTGTTCCACCAACTGCACGGTTCCACTCAACTTGGCATGCCTATGGAGCTAACTTACCCGCTACGTTAGTCAACGTTCCAGTCCAGTTGGTGGCAAGCAGATCACGTGATCTCACGTCGCGGACACCGACCATGGGTATGGCTCATACGTGTGTACACGTGCAACATGTCACATGACGCATGCGATGCCGCTTCAAGGGTGACCGATGCAAGTGTCTGAGTATAGGATGCAAGAAACTGAGAAAAGGTATAGCTGATAAGCAAATGGCAAGCAGCAGTATGTGATGAACACGCCATGGAAAAGTCATTTACTGATGGTTGTTAAGTGTTATCGCTTTCCACTAAATAAAATTGGTTCAAAAAAGCCGCAATAATTATGTAGCAACCGGTTTGCAGTGAAGCAAAGGGCGAAGATAACAGATAGTATATAGGAGAGAGGATAAAGAGGAATTCACAAACTTACCCAACAGCTTGACCAGGTTGGGATGTCGAAGGCTCTTCATAAGACGGGCTTCTTCCAAGAATTCGTCTCTGACAGTCACGTTCTCCTACAAGAAGGAAGAGGTGGGCAGTGTAAGATAGCGAATCAGCTGGATGAGCAGTCGAGCAAGAGGTTGTCAGGAGGAGGAGTATGTACAGCAAGCCATTCAGAAGAAAGTGCCTGAGAACGCACTATTCGGCAACAAAACCAGATTTCGGTGTCTGGCACATTTTACTAAAATGAAAAAGCGAGATAGAAATGTCATCGTAGCTGCGCTTAGATAAGACAGTGAACAGTTGTAAGGAAGAATTAAGACCAGCTGAGTGAAACCGTGGATGCGAAATGAGGACCAGCTGCATGTAATACTCCGTTCAGTGGTGTAGACATGCGCCAGATAACATGCGTAAGTGGATTGTAATCGGAGTCCAAGCAAGGACCAGATCGACATACTCGGACACACGTAGTATACGCCTGGAGGAAAGAGGCGCATACATTGTCCGGGCAATACTGAAAGCCACATCCCAGTAAACAAATGAGTTAGGTAGAAACGGAACACGGTTCTGTCAATAACCCATGTAGGCACCAAATTCAACGGGTTTGGTTGTCATGGTTCGAATTGCTATGAAAGGGGAGTAAAAAAACCCAGGGGGAACCCCAAACGCAATCACGGACACCAATCTCATGGAAAAGTAGTCGATGGGCAATCGATACGCTTAGTTGGGGCAATAAAAGAGAGTGAATAAGGTGTGATAGTGGCCGCTGCCGTTTTCCACATCAGCAACAGCACTGCGACAGTATCTTGCACTGGTGCATTGTAGTTGCGGAGTTACAACGACCCTGATAATGATTCGGCTGGCGGTCGAGCGGATCGGAAGAATGGTTTGTGATCCAAAGGTCACCGGTTCGAGTCTGCTTAAGTGCAGACGACGTCGAGATATCCCTAGCCCGCATGCGACAGCTGGTGGTGGTCGAGTGGCAGGGGAACATCGGCACGACGTATCGGCGTACTGCAGATGTGAAAGCTGAATACCCAAAGCAAAGAATCATTTTCTAGATGCTGACGTCTTGGTAACACGACGCCGCCACATACGGCTAACCATAACCAGCATTACTGCGCAGATAACACGACATTAAAAGAGCCAACAACAAATGCATCACTGGTGGTGGCATTGTGTCATGCGGAATATCCAGCCAAGTACAAGGGAAGCTGCGGTCAACTTAGCCTGGGGGGTCGGGATGGAGTATTATAGTCCGCAGTGATTCTAGTTCATGTGCACAAGTCGAGGGCTGACCCTATCAGACATCCCAGATCAAGTAAACAATGACCTTCTCGGCAAACCGCGGGTCGTATTCGATAGGGATTGCAACCACCAGGAGGACCGAGCAAGAAATCTACATCCACGCAAGAGCGCGATCCAGTTTCTTAGCCTATCACTCTGTGCTTGTTTCATATCATCGACTAGGTGCTCCGTAGCTTCGCCCAATCAGACGATACACACTGCAGTAACCAGTTCACAAAGAATCTAACATAACCAACCTGGTTCAAGTGTAACAGGTAAGCCGGTGTGGTAACGGAGAGTCAGAACCTCACTATTCTTCCGTCAGTGGCCGCATCAGATAAGAGGAACAAAGCGCAGACCAGCCTTCATCATCGTCATTAAGAGAGATGGAAGAGCCAAAAACAACAGAAGAAGTAACAGTATAGTCTAGTATGCATTATTCATCGAGATCGTGATTGGAGAGAAGGCATAAAGAAACTCAACTCAAATCCACTGAACTCGGTCCCTGGCCATGTCAACAAGTGGATCGAACCAAAAGTGGCCATCGTCTTTCGGACCCAACTCGGGAGCCGGGAAGCAACAACTTAGGCGAAACTAAAAATGAGAGGCTTTATTGCTCGGGATGAAGTTAGCTTTTTCTTCTATTCTTCTATCCAGATCCTGGTCATGTAAATAACCCATGTTGCATGGAAGCGGGTCCCCTGGAGACGAATCTACGGTTGGCCGTATTAGTTTAATAGAACACTTAGATTTACATGCATCTATTATTATCATCAACCAACCCAACTATTTGAAAGATGAAACCGATCAATCAACCCGGTAAAGTAGTTTGGGAACTACTCTGAAAAAATAGAACTCGAAGAAATATGATCCATTCCATACGATCCCATTGAACATAATGACCAGAGCAATCAGTTGGACTGTGCCTCGTACCATCGAGAAAGATACCCTTTATTTGTTTATTAATTTACGTGCAAGAAATAACCTGGTCATTGGGAGCCTGGTGCGTAAAGTAACGGTACAAACACTAGTTATCAAGTAACACAGCGCTCCCAAAATGCGCAAAGGGCCGTGGCAATATTTCCTTGAGCAACACAGTAAAGAGGGCAGTTCCGCAGCGCTGCACCCCCGTGTGTGTTTACTGTGTGCCTATTCCTTCAGTGCATTTATATGGGAGCAAGTCATGGCCAATTCGTGTGGAAGAAATGCGCCGTCTTTCCGCCTTCGACAACAGTTGCTTGAGGAAAATCGCTAGCGGTTGGTGACAACACCGAGTTCTAAGTGATGACGTCAGATGCTGTATCTGGGGGAATGCAAGTAATCCCTTTAACAAGCTGGTTTTGCTGCGTTAGTTGAGATGGATAGGTCACGTTCTATGCATAGCACTTGATGGTTTCCCGCGCCGTGCTCTCTTTGCTTGTTCAAAACCAGGCTGGGAGCGCCCACGCGGTGGTGAGCATCTCACAGAGCGACAGCAAGCCAGTTCTATTAAAGAACAGCCACTGAAGGTGGTTAATTGATCCCCTAACCGAGGTAGATGTGTTACCTCTGATGGCCACGCCACTAATCAGGTCTCAGTGAGGCATTACAAAGTTCTAATCAAACAAGATGGCGAGATATTAGCACATATAGCAGGAGATGTCAAGACATGTAATGCTACAGCAAGACCCATGTTATAGTGTGGATCAACGGCATAGTCGTCTTTGATCACCGGTGCTTGCGTTGTGCAGCACATATCCGGTGACAGGACAGAGTAAGCAACATCAGGAACGGATACTCTAGTGTCGCACTGCAAAATTTTCTAATTTGAATAGCCTACCTCGGTTAAGCTATGAGAAACGCATACACATTGACCGGTTATCTATGTGCGCATTGTTCAGTGTCACTGAGTCTAGATGGGAGAAACAGCCTGGTGACCAGTCAATGATATAGCACAGAGTCGGGAATGAATTGATTGAAGGATAGAGTCAGGTCGTCTAACACCGCTTTCATGGATGTAAGTCTCGGGATGGACCAGAACTGTTGTAAACCGTATCTGATAGGGTACAGTAGTGGATTCGGTGGTGCTCTTGCATTCGGCTTCTTGTAAGTCTAGGTGTAAATATCCTGACCCGATTATGTGTTCTACATGAGTTTCGCCTCGTTTCACAAACTTATGTCGATACTTGTTATTGTAGTGATAGCCGAACTCATCGCGCTTCGGTGCTAGTGTAATAACTGGGAAACTGAGATCAAAAGCACAACAGAGGCGAAAACGGAATGGCACAGAACGGAGTCAAATCGTGCAACCAAGTGTAAAAGGAACACTCCGATAGTGGAGTAGAGGAGGGAGAAAAAAGTATTATCAACAGCGTACTTTCAGCGTCTTCACTGCAACAAGGAGACTGTACGGTTTCCACAAGGCCTCGTAAACCACACCGTACTGGCCAGAACCTGAGGGTGAAAAGAAGAGAAGAAGAAAGTGACGATGCGACAAAAATGCGACAAGCACAAGTAGTGAAAATCTGTGGAAGTGTGTTCAGTCCGGTTGACTGACTTTTATCCAAGTACTTGGAAGTGAGGTGAACATATGTAGTTAGATTCATGTCGTAATGCAAACGACGACTCAGTTGATCAACTATGATCGAAGCAGGGGAAAAATTGCGGTGGATCCAATTGCCACGACTCACATCGCAAGAAGAACAATAAACAACGGTAAGATAGTGGGGTTAGAGGCGAGGAGACTGCAAAGAAAATATGAGCAAGAAGAAAGTGCGTTAAACAAATCAGAATGGAATGAAAATTAACAAGCAGATGCAAGAAACCGCGTGAAGGACGCTACTGAGTGCGCGAATGCAGCATGTCAGAAACGGTCTTTAACAATTGGTGCGGCCCATCCCGAGATCCCCATCCACAGACGGCACGCACCCGCCTGACACAGTCTCTAAGACCATTTCTCCATGCCACTATGCTACGTCCTGGACTGGCCACCGCGCGGTTTCACCCAACTTGGTGCAGTCACGGCATATAATGCACGCCGAGGAAGCCGAGTAACTAGCATACGGAGGACGGCCTAGCCAAGGTAGGCAATTAAGTTGTATCAAAAACTTGAGAGAAGCACCAGAAGGCTTCTTGTCACAAACCAACTGGCAGACCTCAGCATTGCTTACACGGTGTTCCCACCAGACGTGAGCAATACGCTGCAAGCACCGGTGGTCAAACACGGCTAAGCGTTTAACGTCTTCGCCGCGAACTGACCAGGTCTCTGATCCATACCGTAATATCGGCCTTAACGATGCGTTATGCACCCTGCATTTCACTGACAAGCTGATATTCTCGCAGTCTCCATAGATGGTTGAGTCGCTGGAAACCCACACAAGCCTTGCTGATACGCGAAGTAACTTCCTCAGGGATGTTAACACCAGAGGTGACATAGCTATTAAGGTAAGTGAACCGATCCACCAGTTCCAATGGTTGTTCGGCGATAGCTAGAACCGGAGGTGTGTCAGCCCAGTCCTGCAGCAGCACTTTGCACTTTGAAGGTAGAGTCGGAAAGTAGGGAGTCACTCATGATCATTTCGATAATAAAGTTGAAGCGTAGGGTATATAGGACAACCCTGCGGAACCTCACTTCCTGTGAGGAAATCAGGAGTTTTCTGTAGACCCTTGCACTGCTTAGTTGCGCAATTGTTCGCCGAGCTTGGCAATTTGGTTGCAAACGTTTCGTCAACAATCGAGGTGACATCCTCTCTGCAGAGTCGGATGTAGCTTGGACGTGAAAGCTCGTGCATAGCAAATCCAGTAATGAAGGCCACCGGTTAATGCGTCGATCCTTATGTAGTTTGTGGACGACATTAGAAGCACTTCATCCTGTTTGTTTATTCATAGAGGTATACAATGGGATGTATTGATTCTGATTGGCTGAAGACGTAATGTTCAGATGTGTTCAGATCTTCCCAGTTCCTTTGTCTCCCTCCGATTGGTGGTTCATCGTTTAGCTCAGTGAAGGAAGTTGATGCTGATTGACTGCAGGTGTAGTGTTGAGATCCTCGCAGTTCCTATGCCTTCTTCCGTTTGTTTCCTCCTGTTTGGCGGTTCATCGTCGAGCTCAATGGGGCAGACTGATTCTGACTGGCTGCAGATATAGCGTTCCGAGGTGTTGGGATCCTCGTAGTTGTATCGTCTTCCTTTGGCGCATCATCCTGATTGGTGGTTCATCCATTAGCTCAATGGGATAGATTGATTTTGATTACCTGCCAGAATAACGCGTCGGAGCGTTGAGATTTTTGCGGTGTCACTGGCTTGTGAGTCGTAGCGTCTAGATGACAGGTTTGAGGTGATTAGCTCGGCCGTTGTCCGGGTATCAGATGGTTCTCGTTCGAGCATCGCCCGAGTTCACTTCATCAAAGCGGTCGGTATGCGGGGTCGATGTCTATATGCAAGTTGACTGAATTCTTCGTGGAAAACCAAGCTTCTAAGAACTCCGTTTCGCTACTTGTCTCACCTCGTGCTAATACTTCTGTCTTGGCCAAGTCAAAGCTGTATCCTTCTTCGTTCACGTGCACCGAGACCAGGGATGATGCATGTTTTTCGCAGGCTATTTTGTATTTCTGCAACCTTGTTGCCAGTTTTCTTCCTGTGGTCAATGTAGTGCTTGTCGCAGTTTCTGCAATGCAATCTGTATACCACATTCAGTTGTCCATGCGCCTCCGGTTTTCCTTTTGATTTTGACAAGGCTTTTCTCAAAGTCGAAGTTGGTTTGTGTGCTACAACGAGATGGTGATGTTTAAGTAGTCTAGCTGATAGTTCGGATAGGTTCTTCATTAAGAGTAAAACAACCCGTCTCTCCGTCATTGTTGCGAACGGTCTGTTTGCTTTGTGCTGGTTCAGACATCTGGATAAAGCCTCGTGGGTATCCGTTGGAAAGTTTTATACAGGTGATTCTCTTCCTTTCGTTTTGCTTCCGTGGTACTGCAGTGTGTTGGCATCTCGTGGAATAGTGTCCTTACACAGCTCATATGTGGCACTTCGGGTGGTTGCTGTTGAAGTTCAGAATTAAGTCCATGTGCATATCCTTCCTACAAACTGATGTTTGCAGCTCGCCTTCTACGGTTGTGGTCACTGGATGTCTTCTGTGGCGCTGTTCAGTATCCGTTGTACGGATATCTGGCTGGGTTTGAAGAACACAAACGTACCGTCGACATATACGACACAAAGTTTCGGGTTAATACGTAGAAGTATATACTCCTCCAATTTATGCATGGCAATCTCCACGAAGAGCCTTGATACAGGGGATCCGATTGGTGCACCTTTCAGTTGCGAATATATCTTAACAATGAAAGAGAAGCAGGTTGGGAAGCACAATTGGAGCAGTTTGCATACATTTTCCGTAGTCATGTTCCTGATTGGATGTTCACTGTTGTTTAGACGCTCTGCGATGACCGCTGTTGCTAGGTGCAAGTTCACGGAGGTAAACAGGGCAGTCATGTTGAACCAAATCATCGTTTCACCATTTATTATTTGTAGACCTACCAGCCGCTGTAGGAATTGTTGAGCATTGGTTATGGTATTGTGACCAGTTGGTTAGATGCATAAAGCGTCGCCATAACTCTTTCGTCAGACTGTAGGTGGGTGTTCCCGGAAATGACACGATCAGCATCAACGGTTCCTCACTTTTGTGTACATTAGGAAGTCCGTAGGACAGCGCGATGTTCGAGTCGCGGGCTCTCATTCTGTCACGTTCTCCTTTGTGATTTGGTTCTATTGCTGAAGCTATTTCAAGGCCCGGTATATTTTGTTTGTCAGCTGCGAAGTTGAATCGGCATCGATGCACCTGTAGGCTACTGTGTGACTCAAGAGGTGCATGGTCTTCTCAGTGTAATCCTCCAAGTTCATTGTGACGGCCATCCGTCCATTGTCAGCTGGTAAGATAGATAGATTCGTCAGACTTCAGGGATTTTGTCGCTTCCTTTTCGTTTCGGGTTAGCGTGTTGTGTTGCCTGTTGCGCGTTATAGCTGGGATAATTGTATATGTTAATTGGTCCTGGATCACTTCAACTAATCCATTAGACTGTAGAGCGCTTTTGAATGCCACCAGAAAGTCTGTTGTGGTTGCATCTTTGAAGTTGTAGCTTATTCCTTTGATGAGGACTTGCTGTTCGGCTTCGTTGATTGGCCGACTGGACAGATTTTTGACCCAGCTCGCACTGGTAGTTCTGTCTTTACAAGAGATTAATTTGGATAGCTCATCGCGAAGCGCGGTATGCATCTTTGTCTTGACGTTTGTCACCCGACGTTCAGTTGCAGTGTCAAGTTGCCTGTCAGTTGTTGTCCAACAGTTTGAAGGCAGGTACAGGCTCGTACAGACGTCTTTCATATTTCTTAAGACGATTGAAAGCGTCAGTGATCATCGGTCCTAGCATACACTTTCCAAATCGTCCGGCAGCAGCCCATGCTTGAGGATGATTGCTCAGTGATTTGTAACTGATACTACGAGGGAGAGGGTCCTTTCGTAGGCATTCATGAAGAAAGAAAAGCTGTTGTCTTGTAGAGGTTTATCTGCAGGCGAAATCCTCCCAACGGCGAGCGAAGCGTTGAACGTGCGTGCTTGTTCAAAATGCCTTGTGGCAGCTAAGCAAAATCAATCTATCCCATTGAGCTAGTAGACGAACCACCAATCAGGATGAAGCACGAAAGGAAGACAAAGGAACCATGAGGATCTCAACACCACGGGACACTAAATCTGCAGCCAATCAGGATCCATCTGCCAAACTGAGCTCAACGATGAACCACCAATCGGGGGAAGGCATAGGAACTGTGAGGATCTCAACACAATACCTGCAGCCAATCAGAATCAATCTGCCCCATTGAGCTCAACGATGAACCACCAATCGGAGGAAGGCAAAGGAATTGGGAGGTTCTAAACACATCGAACACTATATCTGCAGCTAATCAGAATCAATAAGCCCCATTGAATACCTCTATGAAGAGCCAATTAGGATGAGGCGCTTCTAATGTCGCCAACAAACTATAAAAGGGCAGACGAAGTAGCCAGTGGCATTCATTCCCGAATTTGCCATGCACGAACTTTCGCGAGCAAGCTACATCCGACTCCGCGGATGATGTCAACTCGATTGGTGACGAAACGTTTGCAACCAAATTGCAAAGCTCGGAGAACAACTGAGCAACTAAGTCGTCAACGTGAGCTACCAGTATTCCAAACCATTTTGACTTACATGGCCTCGGGAGTCCCGGTAAAGACAATTAAGAATGGAAAGGAATTTAGTCGGCACAACATTCATGGATAGACAGCGTCACAAAATGGTGCAGTCGACAGAGTCGAACGCAGCTTTCAAGTTAAGGAAAACCACCACTGTCGGTTGTCTGTATGTGTCGTTGCTCCAACACTAGGCAAAGAGTAAATATGTGGTCAAAACAATCACGGCCATGGAGGA